TCTATCTATCTATCTATCTATCTATCTATCTATCTATCTATCTATCTGTTTATTTAAGGGGCAATTCTTTTATATCTACATATAAACTAATAAAACTAAAATAGGGAAAAGCATTACATCTTAATTCAAATTGATTGAAAAATCACTATCAGTGGATTCTTTGGGCCAGGGATGGTGGCATCCTGGAAAGGTCGCTGATAGATTTTTTACTTTTTTTCTTCTTCCCATCAATAAAATATTTGACGCAACAGACTGAAGACCATGCATAGACTCTGGATCTTACAGGTGGCGGAGTCCCATGGCCCTCCACGCCACTCTTCCGGGTCGCGCTGGTCTGGATTCTGTGTGAGACCCTGCCTCCACGATTATGACTGTGAATTGGGCCACAGATTCATGCTGCAGAGGCACTGTTTTTTATTTTTTTATCTTAGCAAAAATTGCTTTTATTCTCTAAACCTGATTTGCCTTGAGGCACATGACCAGAAGCATTTGGTTACGAACAAAAAAAAAAAGTCCGGAGGACCACAGGACTTTATAGGACTTTATATTTTCCTCCGCTGTGAAAGATCCCCAATCCAGAAAGGGAGATTCAGAGCCTGTGGCCCCCCCTCCCCCCATCCACAGCTCTGTTGTATCTGCCAGCCAAACCAAGGTGTGCCAGAGTCCTCAATTTACCTGATGACCCATGTCCTGACATGTCCCAATTATTTGGTGCTCAGCTTGGGTTAATGACCCACAGATCGATCATGTTTTCTGAATGTTTTCCCCACTCTGAGATCAGGTGAGAATTTCACTAATCTGTAAGGGGGTAAGGCAAGACCAGATGCTTCACATTAGGAGGAACCAGCTGGGGTGATTGAAGAACCTAATGGAGAGGAGGTCCTCTGATGGCCAGTATGGGCTGCAGGAAGTTGCCAGAGAGGCCTGTTCCCTCTGTGACCCCGACCAAGCCAACAGGATTTATTCTCACTGGCCTTGCCGAGCTGTGACTTGCAAAGATTTTACGGTTGATTGGATTTCAGAGCCTATAAGAAGCCTTGATACGTAAGCCATCAGGAGGCATCATGTGTGATCATGTAATTATGTCATACTGGAGTCATTCATGTTCGTCTGTTATCTTAATTGATTGTCAGTTTCCAAGGTATCTTTGATTAATTGATAAAACTGTGTCATTCCTGTAGAGTTATTTCAAACAGCGTGACAGCCTATGGAAATTGTCAAAGATTTTAAAGTCAGGCAAGAAGTTTTCTTGAAAATGGAAATCAACTGACTGTTCAAACCGTTCAGCCAAACAAACCTAATGTGATTTGGTGAGTAAACTGAGACATGTGGGCAGAATATCCTGAGCTGGGCAGGCGAACACAGAACAGCCTCACACGGAGTCCAGACTTCAAGAGAGCTTTACATTTTTATTTTCAAGCTGAAATGTTAACAACAACAACAACATTTAGATCCAAGCTAGTTAGCCCTGTGATAAGGATTTATACTAAAGGCTAACTGGAGTTGACAGGAGCCATATGTTTGCAGTATATATATATGGTATCTATTATGTCAATCTAACTATCAGCAAAAAGCAAATTATCATATATCTGTAGGAAAGCCTCCAACGCCGCTGAGCTTTCAGTGACTTAGCAAACCTGCGAGTAAGCGTGTGATTTTTATGGGCTGTTAGCTGCCTATAGTTCAGTATATAGAACAGTCTATTTTCTCAAAGCACAATTATTTAAGAGGTGAGATGTCCATCAAAAGAAGGAATACTTCAAATTAAATTAGTTTTCCTTGTCAGACAAACTAATCGGAAAAGCTACTCAGCTTCCCCAGAAATCTACAGACCCTTAAATGGTAGTTCTACTATTGACATGTGCTATACTGAAAACTGTTTTTAAAAAAATGTCCTCCATCCTCATCACAAATTCTGCTAATCGCATTTTGGACTTTTGTTGAACCCAGTGGGGAAACAATATGATTTTGAATTCTAAATGGAAATATAGCAATTTTTAACTTTTTACAAATATATTTGCAGGTGTGGGAATTTCCACTGATATTTTGCTAAAATATCTATTATCTATTACAGAAAATATATTTTATTAAAAGATGCGATATAGTACTGATGATTACGGCAGTGAAACTGAAAGAATTTC